ACCAGTACCACCAACGGGCGCTGCGCAGCCTCATCCAGAACACCTACTGGTGCCAGGCTAGGGTCGCCGCGGCTGACAGCTCGCGCGCGGCGCCGTCCAACTGGCAGCTCCGTGCATTCAAGGACGGCTCGCTCTTCCACAGGCGCTTCCGCTGCGAGGCGCATGTGGCCTGGAGGCGTGTCTACTTGGAGGAGCCGCTGCGTGGAACTGCTGTTCGAGTGGAGGGCATGGGCGGCCCCTTCATCGACCTGTTCGCCAGGGGCCTTTTCCCCGACGTTCTGGAGTTGATGGACAGGCCTGTTCGGCCAGCAGCGGACCACGTCGAGAGCACGACGAGCTGGTACACTCTGGGACCGCACCTTCACGGACACCACGTCTTCGTGGGCGGTTCGGGTCTCGACCAGGCCTACCCGCGCCTGCGCGCCGCGGGATGGGCCGTGGTGGCCAATGACGAGGCCCACAGGCTGGTGGCGGAGGCGTGGGCAGCGGCTCCGATCGTGGTAGCCCCCGAGCAGCTGGCCAGGGACGGCGAGGACTACGCCGTCAAGGTCCCCACGGTGGCAGGGGGCCGCTACAGGCTCTACATTGACTGCATGGCCACGGGGCGCCGCGCGGCCAACCCAGCGGCGGCGGCCGCCGCCAGTGGCCAGCGAGCGCTCCTGTGGACTGGCCTGGCAGAGCAGCTGCAAGACGCGACGGCAGCCAGGTTCAAGGCCCACTTGGGCCCCAAGGCGGTCGCATGTGGCCTCGTCTCGCAGTTCGAGCTGGGTGGCAATGCTCGCGCCGACAGGCGAGCCAAGCAGGGCGCGGCGTCGGCCAGTGCGTGCCTTGATGACATCCACGTGGTCGAGGGCTGCCTGGCCCTGGCTCGCCAGGCGGCGCGCGTCGCTGCTGCGCACGATGTGCAGGTGTCGCGCACCACCATGCTCGACCCCATGGGCGCGGAGGCGCTGAGGCTGATCGACCTCGGTGAATGGCCGCGGTGGCCAGATGAGTTCGAGCCCGACGTAGTGCCCGCGGGATTTCATCCCTGGCGCGTCGGCGGGCACGCCCTGCTCGCGGCGCCCATTTTCGTTGATGAAAAGGCACGCGCGGCCCAGCAGACCAGCGGCTGCCTCCTCTTTTGCACAACGTGCCGTGGGTATGTGTCTGATAAGCGGGGACGAGGACTCCAGGATATGTGTCCTGGAGGCCCGATCCCCAGCGCCAAGAATAATAATTCCGCGCTGCAGCACTTGAAGCACCCCAAAGGGAACAGGCTTCTTGGGAGCTTGCGGTCGCCTGTCGAGTCCGAGATCAATGTTTGGTCTGGGCATGTTCCCCCCGAGCCTCCTGTGGTGACCCAAACGGGTGGCCCGACGGCTGCTGGCCCTACGAGGGAGGCCCAGCGTCCTGGAAGTCTTGTCGTCTTTCGGGCTTCGGCTGGCAGAGGCCCAGCTGTGGGGGTCAAGTGCCCTGGAGGCCAGGGCAGAGGCCCAGGCCAGTAGGGCCCGTGGTATGTCGGACCCCCTCGACCTCTCAAGCGTTCCCCCTGGCGCGACCGTGCCTGGCTGTGGCTGAGTCTGGGAGGCTTGGGTGGTCCCGACGGTCGAATTCGTTTGCAGGACCCTTCTGGGTCGAGTCTAGCCTCCTCCTCCTCCTTCTCCTCCTCCTCCTCCTCCTCCTCCTCCTCCTCCTTCTCCTCCTCCTCCTCCTCCTCCTCCTCCTCCTCCTCCTCCTCCTCCTCGCTCTCGCGACCCTCCTCCGCGTCGGTCGTGAACGAATCACGGCGGGAGGCTTCTCGCGAAGCGCTGGGGCTCGAATTCGGGGCGAGGCTTTTTATGAGAGCGCCCCGAGGTCAAGCAGTGGCGAAGCGTCCTGGCTCCCCTATAGCCCTACCAAATAATGTTCTAAGAGCCTTTTGTGGTTCCCACGAAATGTTCTTAGAACATTTCTGGCGGAGTCTGCCTTGTCTTATCACATCAGATTTACGTTCTAAGAACATTGTTGTTGTTCTTAGAACACTGCTGGGTTCTAAGAACATTTTGCGGTAGGACTACAGGAATGCCGGGACGGTCGGTCCCTGCTCAACGAAGCGTGGAGCGAGAAAGGATCAACGGGTGTTTTCTTCACGCTGGATTGATGCATGTTTTGGTACCTGCGGAGCGGCGCCGCCACAGAGCAAGCACGCTGCGATGATATATTCTCTGTTGCGGGGGATCGGGACGTGTGGTGAGCATCCCCTGCCGCCCGCTTGCCCGCGCCGTGCGCACGTCACACACATGCTGGAGAAAAACGTCTGCGGTCCTGTCGACGCGGCGGCGACCCCAGCACGGGCCTGCAGGGCTGAACGCCGACGGTTGCCCGGACCTGGCCGGCATCGAACGGTCGGCGCTATTGATCGATCGGCCGCCCCTCGTTCCAGGTGGAACGGCCCGCGCGGTGTCGGAAGCCAACGCCGGGGTCGCCACGGCACGAGCCCGCCGCGGGCCCCAGGCTCCCTTCCGCCATTCCTGCTCTGACCATGCGGAGGCGAGCGGCCGCGAGCGCCGCGGCGAGGCTCACTCAGGAGCCCAGGGTCGTAGCGCGCCACGCCTGCGATCCGAGGCGGGAATTGATACATGACCACCGCCTGGAGGGTCAGTTTTCGGAGCCTCGGCAGGCGGCGGCCAAAATATGTCCACATCCATCGCCCGCGAGGGCACCAGGACGTCGGTTCCCAGGCGGTGGATATGGATAAATCCCCGCCTCGCATGTGAGGCGTGGAGAGTGCGCTTCGCGCTGCCCCGAGCGTAGCGCAGCTCGCCGAGGAGGGGCGAGGCCGGCCCGCACACGCAGGTGAGCGGTCCGCCCATCCCGACGCTCTTGCACAGAGCATGCTGAAGAGGCTCGCACGGCGGATCCCGCAGGCCGAGATTTCCGGCAACAGCGCATGCCAAGCAGTGGCGAAGCGTCCTGGCTCGCCTGTGGGCCTACCAAACAGTGTTCTAAGAGCCTTTCGTGGTTACCACGAGATGTGCCTTTCGTGGTTACCACGAGATGTTCTTAGGACATTTCTGTCCGGGGCTGTCTTGATTTAACACATCGGGTTCATGGTCTAAGAACATTGTTTGTGTTCTTACAACATTTTCGGGTTCTAAGAACATTTCGTGGTAGGCCTGTGGAAATGCCGGGACGGTCGGTCCCTGCTCAAGCGTGGCAGGATCCCGGGGATGCCGGGAACACCAGGCTGGGCCAGGCTCCCCCAAGCTCATGGTGAAGACTTTTGGGGGGGAGGCCCTCCCACCGCCTTCCGATCGTAGAGAGGCCATGCCTTCTCGTGTGTCCCGATGTCGCGGGGGGGGGTCAGAGGGACGACCAAGCCCACCATCTGTTTCGTGGCCCCCTCTGGCGTCTCATCCTCGCAGTGGTCCCTGACCCACTCCTGGCTGCTCCGCTCACAGTGAGGCTCGGTCTCATGCCTGCGAATCTGTGCGACGAGCTTTCGGTGCGCGTAGCCGCCTTTGTCCACGCGTACCTTTCTCGGCGCGCTGTGCTTCCCCGAGGACGTGAGCCAGGTGATCCGGCAGAGCCGACCGCGTCGCCCTTCGCTCCGCCAGAAGGCAGCCGGAGACAGCGAGGCCGAAGGCCACCTGCTGCAAGGTTGCCCGTCGGGCCCCATCGTCACTCCCATCGTCGGCCCCTGGGGCCTCCCGAGCCACGGGTCCTCAGATTGTTGCTCCCTCCACCTCCCCGCTCTCATTCCTGCCTCCTTCTCCTCGTCCACCCTGTCTTCCTCCTCCTCCTCGTCCACTCTGTCTTCCTCCTCCTCCTCCTCCTCCTCCTCCTCCTCCTCCTCCTCCTCCTCATCATCATCCCCTTCCTCCTGCTTTTCCTCCTAAGTTGTTTCGCAATCGTTCCGAATCCGAATTATCCTCCTCCTCCTTTTGCAGGAGGTGCGCGTGCATCAAAATCTAGTTCGGAGGATGGGTCACAGATACCCGCCTTCAGAATCGGGACCGCATGGGCTGCCTAGGCTGCGACTCGCCCAACAGCCTGAAGCATTATTTCAGGATCGTGCCTTTTCGAGAGCTGGCGCATTTGGCCCCAGGCCGGCCGCTCCCCGATGCTCCCCTCGCTGCCCTCGCCCTCGTCGAGCCATCGCCGGACTCGGTTCGAGAAGTGGCGTTGATGCTCCACCTGCATCGCCTTCTCCACGCGGAGAGGCGCGATGCAATCAGAGGGTCGTTCCCCCCCTCGATCGTTTGTTCGATCGCCAAGGCCGCTCGGCAGGGCGTCGACCTCCCCTCTGGAGGCATTGTCGTCAGACACCGTCGCAGAGTGGCTATGTGAGGATGCGGGACTTTCTTGAGGGCGCTCCCTCCTCCTCCTCCTCTTCCTCCTCTTCCTCCTCCTCCTCCTCCTCTTCCTCCTCTTCCTCCTCCTCCTCCCCCTCCTCCTCCCCCTCCTCCTCCTCCTCCTCCTCCTCCTCCTCCTCCTCCTCCTCCTCCTCCTCCTCCTCCTCCTCCTCCTCCTCCTCCTCCTCCTCCTCCTCCTCCTCCCTCCTCCTCCCCCCCCTCCTCCCCCCCCCCCCCCTCCCTCCCCCTCCCCCTCCCCTCGACCTCGGGCGCAGCTGCAGCAGCCTCCTCCTCCTCCTCCTCCTCCTCCTCCTCCTCCTCCACCTCCTCCTCCTCCTCCTCCTCCTCCTCCTCCTCCTCCCCTCCTCCCCTCCTCCTCCTCCTCCTCCTCCCTCCTCCTCCTCCTCCCCTCCTCCTCCTCCCCCTTCCTCCTCCACCTCCTCCTCCTCCTCCTCCTCCTCCTCCTCCTCCTCCTCCTCCTCCTCCTCCTCCTCCTCCTCCTCCTCCTCCTCCTCCTCCTCCTCCTCCTCCTCCTCCCCTCCTCCTCCTCCTCCTCCTCCTCCTCCCTCCTCCCCCCCCCTCCTCCTCCTCCTCCTCCTCCTCCTCCCCCCCCTCCCCCCCCTCCCTTCCCTCCCCCTCCCCCTCCTCCTCGACCTCGCGGGCGGCAGCTGCAGCAGCCCCCAGGAGCTCGTGGTCTTCTCCGGCGAGTCCTCCGAGCGCAGCGGCGCCGGCCGGGCGGGCGCCGGGGTCCTCGCGGCCGCCGTGGCGGCGTGCGCCGGCCTGCTCGCGTGAGGCGGCCATGGCGGACCGCGGAGGTCGGCTATCAAGCAGTGGCGAAGCGTCCCGGCTCGCCGATAGCCCCACCAAACAATGTTCTAAGAGCTGTTTGTGGTTCCCACGAAGTGTTCTTAGAGCATTTCTGGCTGGGGCTGTCTTGTTTGAACACACATCGGGTTTCTGTTCTGAGAACATTGTTCTTAGAACATTTGCGGGTTCTAAGAACATTTCGTGGTATGACTATAGGAATGCCGGGACGGCCGGTCCCTGCTCAAGACCAGACGTGAGAGTGACCCTTCTCGCCAGAGTGACCTTCCCGGAGATCCAACGCATGGACAAAATCAAGGCGGAGGTTTTTCATGTTTTTCGGCCTCGGGGGGCCCTCGCCGGGCCCCGGGACCGTCAAAGAGCGACTCAGGATGAAAGGCTGGTCCTGGGAATGGGTCCAAACTTCCGGGGACCCCGTATTGAAAAAGTCACGACGTCGGATCTCAGGGTTTGGTGCGGGCCCATTGGCGTCCCCCGATCGCCGAGCGCGATGCGATAATAGCGTCTTGCGCGGCTGGGTTTGGTCCCCCCGGGGTCACCGAAAAAGCCGCGCGCCAAAGATCACTCCCACCCAGGGTCACTCTTGCGTGTAGCCGAGGAGGTGCCGCGGCGCCCGCGGGGCTCATAGGCCTCCTATAGATGGGGTCCGAGTAGATAGGGGTCGGAGGATCGGCGCCGCATCGCCGACGCGTCGGCGATGCAGTCGGCGATGCATCGGCGATGTGGAGCCCGATTGGCACCTCGCCGACGGCGTCGCCGAGGCGTCGCCGATGCGTCGTCGATGCGTCGTCGGCGCGGCCCTCCGACCCCCATCCGGGAGGCCTCCGGGGGCGCGGCCAGGGGCGTGGCCGCCCCTGCTGCTCGCGAGGGCTGCTCCTCCTCCTCCCTCCTCCTCCCTCCTCCTCCCTCCTCCTCCCTCCTCCTCCCTCCTCCTCCCTCGCGGCAGATGAGGGCGAGCTTTCCCGTACGGTTACGTCGGGCCTGTCCCTGGACAGCAGGAAGATGCCAAAACGGTCGAACAATCGTATGGGGACGAGTTTTGTCGGTTGACCATTTTTGAGCCTGCTTTGACAGTGTTTCACTTTTCGCCCGAAATCCGCCTGTAGAAGGACGTGCCCGACCTAACCGTACGATGGAGACGGAACGTACAGAGGAGACCCATGCCAGGAAACACCTTGCTTGCCTCCAGGGTGCCCCGGGTTTCTTGGGTTTCGATGTTTTTGCGACGGAAGGTGTGACGTTCCCACACCAAAGATAAATAGACGTCCTGGGGTCTCGGGATTCGATTTCTTGTGGACGGTTTCTTGTGGACTGGCCTCCATCGTATGGACACGAAGACCAGCAGCAGCGCTTGTTCATTTTGAGCTGGAGTCGCTGTCAGTGTCGCCCGCGGACGTGCTCCATTTGAGACAGCCGGTCACTTGCCCAACAGCGGCTGCGGTCAGTCTTTACAGAAACCAGTGAGTGTACGGCCCCCCGTGCAGGGCCTGTGCTGGAGGGCCTACGTGGGCCCAGCGAGCGCGAGGCCTGAGAAGGCCCGAGACCGTGGGAGAGGGTTTTTTCTCCGAAGTGCATCGGGGCTCGAGAAAGATCGAGCCATCATCATCACCATCATCATCATCACCATCATCATCATCATCATCATCATCATCATCATAATCATCATCATCAGCATCAGCATCAGCATCAGCATCAGCATCAGCATCAGCATCAGCATCATCAGCAGCAGCAGCATTATCATCAGATCTGCATGGTGACAGGTTGCGACATATCCAACTGTCCCTAAGAGGCTAGTGCCGCCAGCGCGGCATGGCGGCTGGTGGCGTGGTTGCAGGGGTGCAGCTGCTTGATCCCCGTGGAGTCGGAAAGGTGCCGACCTCTGGCAAGCGGGAAGACGTCGAAGACAGGACTTTCCCGTTCGAGAGCTGCTGCGTGCTGCTGGGCTGGATAGCAGGCCTGGAGATGGCCAGGGACGCGGCGGAAATACTCAGGCCAGAGGATCTGGGCGAGCAGTCGGTGCAGGTCGGCAAGAGTCTGTATCACCTGTTGGCGAACACCACGAAGGGCACGGCGCAGAGCATCGTGAAGTTGTGCCCGCGTGGTGATGGCTTCGAGGCGATGAAATGAGGAGGTTGCACGGCGAGTACAGGCCACGCTTGAACAAGGAGCACGGCCAGATGTTCCAGGAGATCCTGACGCCGTCTTGGTGGAAAAAGCGCGAGGGCAAGGAGCGTTCCACGGAGGTGATTATTGCCTGGGACGCGCTGATCTTACGCTACGAGCGCGCCACGGGCGAAGGAGCCACTCAGAACATGAAAACAAGCACGATCATGGCGCACGCTCCCGACGACGTGAAGGCCATGCTGCGGTCAGCGCAGAGGCACGTGCGCAGCGACATTTCGCAGATGAGGAGCTGCATCTTCGAGGCGGCGATCAGCCAGAGTGGTGCGATCGCAAAACCGCCGACAACAAGCAGAGGAAAATACGACATGGACGTCGGCGCGATCTCGAAAAGCGGCAAGGGCAAGGACAAAGACAAGTGCCAAATCTGCAGAAAGCCGAACACACGACCAAGGACTGCCATTGGCGAGACAAGGGCGAGTCCAAAGGCGATGGCAAGGCGCGAGGAGCTGGAGCTGGTGACAAGATGGGCTACGGCAAGGACAACAAGGGCAAAGGCAAGGACAGTTGCGCTGGGAAGTGCGACTACTGCCACAAGACGGGCCACAAGAAAGCGGACTGCAGGAAGCGCGCGGCCGACGAGAAGGCGAATAACCAGCTTTACTGCATGGCGAGGGGGGCAGACGGCTGCGACAAGGAGTGCTGCGCGATGGACGTCGACGGCACAACCTTCATCACTCTGGACACGGCTAGCGATTGCCACGAGGGGACCGACCTCCTTTGGCGAAGGGCGCGTTCGTAATGCAGACGACGGCCCGAAGCTGCTGGGCGCGCAGAAGCAGGATATCAGGATGGGCCCCATCGCGACGGTGCCGGTGGCGGTCGACAACGGCAACGAGCAGACGAAGCTGCTGCAAGCGACTTCAGGCTGGGCGATGCGGCGTCGAAGCCGAACCTCTCGCTGCTCGAGGTGACGAACAAGGGTGCGGAGTTCTGGCTGGGCGCGAAGTCCGGCATGCGCACGCGCCCGGGCGGCGGCCTCAGCACGGGCGCCCCGCTCGCCAGGCGCAACAACACGCTGAGCTTCAACGCGAAAGCCTTCGCGTCGACGGCAGAGGCACAGGAATTCGCGGCGAGCGCGAACGCCAACGAGCAGCAGGCTGAGGAGGAGTTCGCGCCATCGCCCGGGGTCTCAGGCAGCGGCGGAAACACGGCGGCAGCGGCCCGACCTGGGCCAGCGCAACCGGCAGCGACAGCAGCCGAGGGAGGAGATCGAGCGCGGAAGCAAGTTGCACGACAGCCAGTGCTACGGCGCGACGGTCAGGAAGATCCTGCGTCCTGAGAGCCGCGTGGAGGACATGCGAGCGAGGTTGCGGGAGTCGGGAGCACCGATCTACGGCGGGAAGAACGAGCCGCGGACCAGGCTCAGCGACGCGGAGGGGGGGGGTCATGGCACACCGCGACAAGCTGAAGCATTTAGAGCGCAGGCGCGAGCAGTCCGTGCAGGGGGCGTCTGCGATCGCAGCGCGGCTAGTTGCTGGACCGGCGGGGCCGACGCCGGAGGTGAGAGCAGCCCGCGAGTTGCCGCGCTCGCCATGGGCCGAGTGGCGCGAGTCCTGCGGGCGCGGCAACGAGACTACTAAGCCGCGCAAGACGCTCGCCATCGATCAGAAGGGCACCGGCAAGGCTCGGATCACCTTGGACTCCTGCCACGCGAAGACCAACGGCGACTAGGCCGAGGTTGGCGACGAGGAGCCGCCAGCAGCGGACATCTTCGAGACGACGTTCGCGATGGCGGACAGGGGCGCGTCAATGTTCAACGCGATCTCGACGCCGACGAAAGCGGTCACCGACTATGCGGCGGCGAGCGCGAGCAGCTTCGTCGAGGGCACGCACTTGGCGACCGCGGACATCAAGACGGACGGCGGGCCGAAGATCCTGAACTCGGCGGAAGAAGCGCGGGGCAACCTGAAGGACACTCAGAGCACGGGCCCGATCGAGGCACCCATCAGATGGTTTCGAGCGATGATGGGGACCTACAAGTTCGACTTGGAGAAGCGCTACGGCATGCAGATCACAGCGGACGCGCCGATCTGACGCTGGATGACGCGCCACGTGAGCTGGCCGACTTCAACGGACGGAACGAGAGCCGATGGGGGGGGGGCATCTCATCAGGCAGCCTACGGAGTTACCTACACTGGCGAGACCCCACCATTCGCGGAGAACGCGCTCTTCAAGCCACCTAGCCCCCACGCGAGGCAGATCACGGCGGCCGCGCAACAGCGCGAGAGCGAGTCGAGCTTCGCGAAGGGCATCTGGATCGGGAAGCACAAGGATAACTAAGACCACCTGTTCTTGACACCAGAAGGGTGGCATCGTGCCAGGACCTGCAGGGGGCTGGGGCCCGCGCTGCGGAACGACGCGAAGTTGCCGAAGGCGGCGACGGCTTTGCGCTGGGGCGCGAGGAGAGGCGGAGGCGGCAGCGGCACCAGGAGGACAGCAACAGCAACGGGCGCCAGAGCAGGGGGCGCAAAGAGCTGCAGGAGGCGGAGACGCACGACAACCTGAACCGGCGCCAACAGCAGGACCTGGAACAGGAGCTGCTGGAGCAGGACCTGGAGCAGGCCACGGGCGGAAACCGCGATGGAGGGGGGCATGCCGGCTGCCCCGCGAGGTCAGACCAGACCAGCTGATGACCAAGACTTGGGCTCACCTGGCAGGCGAGCGAGGCGCCTGGAAGCGATCTCGCTGGACGACTCGATCGACTGCGGCATCCTGGACAGCGCGAACACGGCGTCCTACGTCGCGACCAGCGGCCTGGACCCAGCGGTGGAACTCTAGGGCAAGCGCGAGGCGCTGGAGGTGCTGGCACGCAACGGCGCGCAGAGGGGCATCCCGAGGAGCGAGGGCGGTAAGTTCTAGATGATCAAAGCGCGCTGGGAGCCGCAGATGCGAGGAGGGGCTTGCAAGTGGTGGCACGCGGCGCAGAAGCTCACATGGATGGAGCAGCCAGACAACGCGTTCGCAGCGAGCTCATCGGTTCAGACGAGCCGACTGGTGGACTTCGTCAGCATCACGGAGGAGAGCCACGGTGCGTTCATTGCGGATTGCGTGAAGGTCTACTACCAGGACGAACAGAAGGAGATGGCGTGCGTGGAGCCACCTGTCGAGTACCTGGCGACCCTGGCGGAGTTGGGGAGACCGACCAACATCGCGCGGGCGCTGGAGAAGATGCCACCAGGGCAGCGCGCGGCAGGCGTTGGCTGGACGCATAAGGCGGCGAAGACTTTGAAAGGCTCGGGTTTTGAGCGATGTGAGCGCCAGCCCCAGTTCTACTACCACAAAGAGAAGAGGGCCCGATCAAGGTTTACATGTATGACTTCCACGGCGAGGGGCCTGCGAAGAACCTGGATGGCGCCGTCGCGAGGATGAGGGAGGCGTTCGACCTGAAGGCGACGGCCGTCATCAGGAATGGGGTGCCGCTCTCATCTGAAGCGCGACAGGCTGAGGCCCATGAACGGGGGCGCGATGCTGCGCCCGAGCGTCAAGCACATCGAGGACTTGATCTACGCAGTGGGCATGGAGAAGGCGAAGCCTGCGAATGTACCGAGCTCGATGAAGAGAAGCCGACCTGGAGTCCAGAGCTGGACGAGATCGAGAACGCAAAGTACCGCAGCGGCGTGGGCATCTCGCTCTACATCTTCCCCGACAGAGCCAACGTCCAGAGGGGCGCGCTGCTGCTGACGAGAAGCCTGAGCCAGCCGACGGAGTTCGACAGGAAGCGCTTGGTGAAGCTGGCGAGGTACCTGAAGGGGGCGACTGCATACGGAGCGCTGCTCAGGACGCCCGCGGTGGGCAAGCCTGCCGAGGTGAAGTTGCCGATGCACGCGGACGCGGACTTCGCAACGTGTCAGACCACGAAGAGAGCGATGACATGTGGGATCAAGAAGCTGGACGGGGTGCAGTTCGCGGCTTTCGCAAGGCGCCAGGGGAGCCCAGACCGCATCTTCATGGGGGGCGGAGTACTACGGGGCGACCTCAGCGGCATGGACGGCAAGCTCATCAAGACCGCGCTGCAGTGGATGGTCTACAAGGTGACCTGGGAGCTGTCGACAGACAGCAGCGCCGCAAAGGCTATGATCAACCGCGATGGCGCTGGCAAGGTGAAACATCTTGACGTTCGAGCGCTGTGGGATCATCAGGAGTGGAAGCAGAATAGTTTGAACGTGAAGAAGGAAGCACCGAGGCACACCCCGTGGCGAGGTTCGAGCACTTGCGAGACCAGGCGGACTTGCGAGACCAGCGCGGAGATGGACAAGAAAAAGGAGCTGGAAGCGCGCTCGGTGACAGCGATCACAAGCTAAGCAAGGCAGGGCCTGCTGGCCACCTTGTTGGCGCAAGGAACGATTACGGGTTCGGCGAGCACCTGCGAGCTGGACATCTACGAGGAGAAGCAGACCACCAGCCTGGCGGGATCGGTGATTCGCGACTGGTTCGACGAGAACACACTGATGATCGTGATGTTGTGCAATCTGATGGTGATCATGACTGGCCTGGCGCGCGGATGGCGCTGCAGAGGCGCGTGGGCAAAAGCGAAGAAGAACAATGAGATGAACGAGATGGCGAAAGGCACAGGAAAGGTAACCAGGCGCAGACCGCCGACGAGAGCAAGAGGAAGAAGGAGGACGGAGGCCCGACGACAGTTGAAAAGATGTCGCAAGCGCCGCGCACGCACAAGTGGATGAACGAGAAGCCGAGGTTCGCGGCGTTGCCAGCTGCGAGCCATGGCTGAGCTCGAGGCGACTGGCGAGGAGGTCCACGTCGCCGAGTTCGGCGAGTACGCCTCCGTGCAGGGCCTGTGTTGTAGGGGCCCAGCAGGGCCCAGCGAGCGCGAGGCCTAGAAGGCCCGAGAGGGGGTTCCCTTCCGAAGCTCATCGGGTCTCGAGAAATATCGAACCATCATCATCATCATCATCATCACCATCATCATCATCATCATCATCAACATCATCATCACCATCATCATCATCATCATCGTCATCATCATCATCCGCATCCGCATCAGCATCAGCATCATCATCATCATCATCATCATCATCATCATCATCATCATCATCATCATCATCTCTGCAGTTTTGGACAACATTCGTTGGTGAGCCTCGTGCCCATTTGTCCCATATTCGCTTCGGGAGCCTAAAGATTGGGACAGCGGCGGTTGGCTTCGGGGGGGCGGGAGGGGGGGGCGTCTCGTCGCCACGGCTGGACGCCAGCTTAGGAAAGTGGTGCGTCTGGATTCCAGGAGGGGTCGGGGGGCCGATTTTGAGTTGCCGCTGTCTCAACGCACCCCGCTCCCACATCAGGGGCAACATTCGGGGACAGATTGTCCCAGAGATTTTCGAGCCTCCGGGTGCTTTTCAGCGATTGCGCCTCGTCGGGAGCGTTCCAGGGATGCCCAGATCGCCCCGAACGTCCGCCGGAGGCCCGAGCTATGGCCCGACAGCCACGTTGGAGACATCGCTCCTGCTCGCGAGGGCAGCCGTGAAGCATGGTTTTGTTCGCCGTTTTCGGGCCCTCGGGGCTTTCCACGCGCCCTGGGGCCGTGAGAGAAGAGCTCAAGACGACAGGCTGGTCCTGGGAAAAAAGCGTCCTGGGGTCCAGGACCCGTTTCCCTCAGGACCCGACTGTTTCACGCCAGTCCTGCTCACGAGGACGGCCCTCAGTGGCAACGTTAGGGGGAAGAGGTTCAGGGGGGAATGCATCCACCCCCGCTCATCCGCTCATCGCCGTTTGGTGCCCGTGTGTCCCACACCGCCCAGGATCGTGCGGCTTCGCTATCGGGGCCTATGGTCGATCAATCGGCGATGTGTCGCCGATTCCAAGTCGATGTTTCCCCCAGTGAGCCTGTCACCCCCTCTCGCTGCCCCTCACGCTCCGGCTCGGCGGGTCAGAGGTGGGGCCCTGGGGGACGGGGCCTTGAGGGCGAGAGCCTCAAGCAGCGAAGGCTCAGGCAGTGAAAGCGCAACTCGCGGTCCACCTCCCATCCCGTGGGCCCACTCCCTCAGGGCCCCATCTCTGAGTCGTCGAGGGGCGGCGCCTCTCCTGCTCCCACGAGGACGGTCCCACCGTTCTCACTCCGCGGGCGACGTCGGCCAGCGGCGCCAGACTGCCGGGTCATCTTTCTGCTGCGCCTGCGCCTCGGGCCCAGCCAGCGTTTTGGCACAGCGCTGGCCCCGCGGTCACGGGCCGTCTTCCTGCAGCGCTCGGCGCCGACCCCATCGTGCCCAGAGTCTGCTCGCCTGCGTCCTGCGCACGCGTCGCAGGCTTAGTGGGCCCTGGAAACGACAGGGCCGCTTTTTTACCGCTTCCGTTTTGCCGTCTTGTTGCCGGTTCCGACGCCGTTTTGTTTACCGGTTCCGTCGCCGTTCTTTCACGGGCTCCCGCTCCGGTTCCAATCCTGGAGCCGTTTTTGTTGCCGTTTCCGGTCGCCGTTGTTTTGCCGTTTCCGTTTTCAAGGGTTTGTTTGTTTTCGGAAGCGGTGAAAAAACGTCCCTGCCGTGTCCGGGGCCCACTAAGGTCGCAGGGGCCTCAGCCGCGGAGAGAGCCTGAGAGCACATTTTGTCGTCCTTGGCCCTGGCGTTTTGGAGAGGGCCCCTCGCCGGGCGCGGCGGCATCGGGAGCACATTTGCGGCCAGTGTCGGGGACGGAAAAGAGGAGGGTGATGGCTGGGGGGGGGGGACATCGTGGCGGGGGCCATGATATTTGAGCACATGTGCGGCCAGTGGTCAAGGTTATTTTTCCTGCTCGTCTTCTTCCTCGCCCTCGACTTCCTCCGTGTCCATGCCTTGCCCTACCTTTAGGAGTAACTCCGTCTCGCACCCCCAGACGCTTCGGTGGGGTGGGCCAGGTGTTTCGCTTCAGACCTCCTCACTGCTTGCGACTCGAAAGCATGGAGTTGCCAACAACTTCACAAGTGCAGGGCGGGTCGTTCTCTAGATGTGCATCTCGACTTGGCGCCGCGCACATAAGTCTTAACAGCTTGCACACGGATGGAGGGCGGGTCCTTTTCACAGTGCGGTGCTCGCCGTCGCGCCGTGAAGAGTCGTCGTCGAGTTTGCAAGCGGTTCACGGATGGAGGGCAGACGTTTTTCAGCATGAGGTTCTCGCCTTGGCGCCGCGCGCGCCTGCAAAGTTTACACCATAATCACAGGGGGAGGACAGGTCCTTTTCAACATGCTGTTGTTCGCCGTAGCGCCGCGCATATTCGTGTCGACATTTCGCAACAGTTTCGCGAACGGAGGGCGGACCGTTTTCTAGAGGCGGTTCTCGCCATAGCGCCGCGCACGTTCGTGCTCAATGTTTGCAGCAGTTTCACGGCTGGTTGGGCGGGTGGTTTTCAACATGTGGTTCTCGCGTCAGCGCCGCGCGCATTCGTGTTCAAAGTTCGCAACAGCTTCAAATATGGAAGGCGTGTTTACCTAACAGCGTTTGCTGATAGGTTTCTAGTAGGGTCAAAAGAGAGCATCATGACTCCTCAGGGGGGTCTGGGCGGGTGCCGGGGAGGAGAACCGGGAATCGTTTTTCAACAGTCACACACTTCGTGCTCTTCGACCTCCCAGAACTCCATTCCCGGGACACATTCTGGAGAACCGGGAACAGAGCCGGGCTCGCTTTTCGCCAACAGTCACACACTTCGTGCTCTTCGACCTCCCAGAACTCCATTCCCGGGCCACATTTTGGATGCCCGGAGCCAACTGTAGGCCACTTCGTGGTCTTCGAGTTCCCAGAACTCCATTCCCGGGCCACATTTTGGATGCCCGGAGCCAACTGTAGGCCACTTCGTGGTCTTCGAGTTCCCAGAACTCCATTCCTGGGCATGATTTTGAATGCCCGGAGCCAACTGTAGGCCACTTCGTGTTCTTCGAGTTCCCAGAACTCCATTCCCGGGCCACATTTTGAATGCTGAGGCATGCTGAGGCTGAGGCAGGCTGAGGCTGAGGCAGGCTGAGGCTGAGGCCGAGGCTGAAGGCAGACTGAGGCTGAGGCTGAAGCAGGCTGAGGCTGAGGCTGAGGCAGGCTGAGGCTGAGGCTGAGGCAGGCTGATGCTGAGGCAGGCTGAGGCTGAGGCTGAGGCTGATGCAGGCTGAGGCTGAGGCAGGCTGAGGCTGAGGCCGAGGCTGAAGGCAGACTGAGGCTGAGGCTGAAGCAGGCTGAGGCTGAGGCTGAGGCAGGCTGAGGCTGAGGCAGGCTGAGGCTGAGGCTGAGGCAGGCTGAGGCTGAGGCTGTGACTGTGACTGCCGTTGCCACTGCGACTGTCATCGCGAATGCGACTACGACTGCGAGATCAGCAGAATTCTACAACTGGATTATCATCTGAATCTTAAGGGGAATGCTTCCAGATATGCTCCTACACATCGCTGTTAGGTTGCTTTGCCGGGATAATTTTTCTAAACGCGGTTCTCTCTTCAGCGCCGTGTACATTCACTCTTAAACTCCGCAACAGTTTCAAGGCGTCGTACGGATGACGTCCCAGGATGCGTATTTTGGCACGATGTAGGATTACCAGGACGCAACAGTCGCATTGACCCGCGGTGCTGAAGTCTCAGAAATGGTGTTGCGGCACGGTGTAGGGATGCTGGGACGCAAGTGCCACGTTGATCAGCTACGTTGAAGTGACAGGAGTGGCGTCTTGAGGCGATTGGGGATTATCAGACGGTTGTTTTTTAATGGGCCACTCCCCGCAATGGCAGACGTTATTGGGGTGACCTATGAAGAGAAAATTCGGAGGGTGGTACTGCAACATCGGTGATGCGTCCTGGTTTTACAGTGGTACTTCTCCTCGTTTTCATAAATCGATATGTTTGCTCGTGGTTCCACTTCCTACCGTTATTCTCATCATTTCGTCTTTCCATGTTCATCCCAGCATGACCCCTCTTCCGTACTATTGCTTCCGCGCGTGATCCCAAACATTTTTGTCGATTGTTCCGCCAGTTCCTGTTTGTCCTACTATACCATTGCGGTTGTTTGCGCCTTACCTTGCTACCCATAATAGTTTGGTTCGCAGGGCCCTTGGTCATTTGAGCTACGCACCCGTGCGCGGTGACAGCAAAAGCTGATCAGCGATAATCTTCGACATCAAAGTGGTAGCTTGGAGCGTGATCAGTTACCAGGCGCGCGGCGCCGTTCCACATCGACGCCCTTCGGGGCCAAGCTTTGCCGCGACGACGCCGCCGTGGAACAGAGTGGAATTGTGGACCAACGTCCTCCTGCTCCTGCTGCAGTTCGCCAGCGTCGGCGACACCAGGACGCACTACTACCTGCCCTATTCCGCCAGCGTTAGCGACGCCAGCAAGCCCTACTACCTGCCCTACTTTGCCAGCGTCAGCGGCGCCAGCAAGCCTTACTACTTGCCCTACTTCGTCAGCGTCAGCGACGCCAGCAAGCCCCACTACCTGCCCTACTCCGCCAGCGTCAACTGCGCAGCCAAGCCCTACTCCTTACCCTACCAGCGCAGCCCCAGCGACGCAGCCAAGCTTTTCTACTTTCCACATTTCTCGAACTTTAGCGAGGCCGGCAAGGTCAATTTCCAAATCTCCCAGAACGCCAGTGACGCCACTGAGTTCGATGTCGCATCCTTTCTGGACTTCAGCGAGGCCGACAAGTTCAATTTCAGATTCGCCCCGAACGTCAGTGACGCAATGGAGTTCAATTTCTCATACTCCCAGAACTTCAGCGAAGCCGCCGAGTTCGATTTTTCAACCGCTCAGAACACCGGTTCCGCCCACAACCTTACTTTCAAGACCTCCCAGACCACCAACAATAAGTTCGATTCCTTCACGACGGCGACGGACAGCGACATGGAGTCCGACAACTCTGAACTAGTAGTGTCATCTGCGTGGAGCCGTACTCTCGACAAGATGGCGGACAACAACTTCACGCCGCAGTATCGAATGCTGAGCTGGAACGGCGACCAAGCGAAGTGGCGAAATTACAAGCAAGAAGTCAATCTCTGGGAGCTCAGCGAGAACGCGGATGTGAACCGATGCTTGGCATCAAAGCTGGTGCTCAGGCTTACGGGGCTGGCGCGTGCTCACGCCATCAACATGCACCCTGAGAAACTTCATCATCGGCCAGATGACGAGCTGGAGGAAGTAAACGACAAGAAGCGAGACAGGAGCGCGAAGGGCATCGCCAACGTCCTACGCCACTTGGAGGAGAGATCAGGCCAGCAGACACCTGCGCAGTTGGGCGAGACGCCCGAAACGTTTTCCGAGTCGACAGCTCACCACCGACGCCGCGGCGAGCGCATGACAGAGAAAATGGTCAGATTCGACGCGGGTCTGCGACAGCTACGCGACAACGAGTCTACCTCAACGAGCTCGATGACGTTGCAGGATGGCTCTTGTCGCGCATGGCCGGCCTGAGCGCCGATCGACGCGAGCGAGTCGCAGGCAGCCGACCAGACGAGCACTACGGGCCCCAACGCTTCAGGGGCCTGTTGGCGCTCATGTTCCAGGAAATCCGCGCCCAGGAGACGTCGCAGCAGCCGCCGCCCCGACCCAGGAGCAGACAGCCACGATCCTCGCGGCAGCGCCCGAGCGCACCAGGTCGAGCCCGCTCGGCCAAAGCGGCCCGGACGAGGAGGACGTCGACCAGGAAGAGGGCGACGAGGACGAGGCCCCAGACGGCGACGCCCAGGACACGGCGCGACGCGAGCTCGAGGCTCTCAGCGCCACGCTCGAGGCCTTTGGCGCGGACGCGTCGGAGGTTGACAACGGCGACTCCGCCAACATCGAGGCCGCCGCGGCAGAGCTCGCGGCTCTTCCGGAGGCCGCGGCCGCCATCAGATCGGCGCGCGACGCCATCGAGGGCCGCGGCGAGACCGGGGCCCCGAAGCGAAAGGCAGCGAGCAAGATCATGAATTCCCGCATCGACTTGCGGAAGAATAATATAATGTGCTGGGGTTGCGGCGAGTCTGGCCACTGGACAGGCGATTCGGATGGCCCGACGCTTGGCGCTCGCAAGTTTGCCCCGACGGCCAAGGACAAGTCCGGCGCAAGGTCCAATGAAGGGCGACTGCATCGCTCGGCAATCGTCGCAGTGCTCAGCGGCCCAGAGGAGGAAGTCCAGTTTCATCCAGAGGGGCCGGTCGCCCCGCCCAACGAGGGCGCGCCCCCGCACCTGTCGGAGAGGGCGATCCCCGACCTGCAAGCAGATCAACGATCGTGGCATTGGCGCGGTGGACACGGCGCGTCTTCTGCGTGTCTGGCCAGTCCTGGCACGGCGACTACAAGAAGATGCTCGCAAACGCGGGCCGAGACGAGAAGATCCTGGAGGGGCCCGAGAACGAGACCTCCAGGTTCGGCAACGGATGCGCTCTGCCCAGGTGACGGCGCCGCTCGCGCCGTGCGGCCGCGCGGGCAGGATCGCGCGCAGCGTCGCGGACAGCCCGGCGCTCGGCCTGCTGATTGGCCGGGACTTCATCCTACCCTCTAATATCAACATTTCGCTTTGGAAGGGCCACATTCGCACTGGTGGACATCCCCAGAAGCTGGTCGCCAGCACCGCGGGGCACCCCGCGATCAAGCTGCAGCCTGAGGAAGAAGTGGAGGGCCATCAAGGCGGAGCGATTTCGGCCCGCCCGAGGACATTCAGAGGGCCCCGAAGCCGAACGCAAACGCGACCGAGAAGAGGCCGAATTCGGCGG